GTGTGTGTGTGTGTGTGTGTGTGTGTGTGTGTGTGTGTGTGTTGGGGTCAGACACAATGGAATAAAAAAACGGACGAACACATGAGGGTCACATACAATTTACATGTACCCAAGCCAAGTCCTCAGCCTCCGCCTCCTCTCTCCCTGGCCATTTTAGATTGATTACAGAATATAACTTTAAAATACACCTCCCCTCTCTCCATCCCAGAGGAAGCCACACCGAACTGTATTGGCATAGAAATACAAACCTCTCCTCAATTCCTCCTCCTCCTCTCTCTCTCTCTCTCTCTCTCTCTCTCTCTCTCTCTCTCTCTCTCTCTCTCTCTCTCTCTCTCTCTCCTCACTTTCTCCCTCTCCCTCTCTCTCCCTCCCCTCTTTATTTTGACCTTCCTGTGTGCTTTCCCTGAAAGACTGCATGACCCAAGACCACGTCTCTCCAGCTGACTGAATTCACCCCGGATTGCTTATGAAGCTTATTTGCATAGGCTGCCGCTGCTTGAGATTGAGTGTGCTGCGTTCTAGACAGTTTGTATAGCAGTCAGCTGAAGGCAATGAGTTTAGGTCGAGCGTGGTCTTTTCTCTCCCCCAGCCCAGGGTCCCCCCCCCCCCAGCTCAGACTGTTATTATTCCCGCTGCTGCTGGAGTTGTGGCCTTACATGTCTCACAAAAGAATATATTAGCATCCCGTGCTTTCGAAGAACCGGCCCAAAGTAACTTTCTCCCTAGAGTCCAGGGGGCATACCAAAAAGCCCTAAGGGGGGACGACGGGGATGTCCCGGTTTCGGTTATGTCCCCCTCCACCCCGTAGTCCCATACTCCACCCTACCTCTCTCCTCCCTTTGCCTCCCCCCTCCCCACGCCCTCCAGCACCACCCCCCTCCAGCCCAGTTCTGGATTTGGGGAAGGGGGCGGAGAGGAAAGGGAGTGTTTCATCCGTTCAATTTACACTAGCAAGTCCTGACTTCTGCCTCCTAGTGGGGGTGGGAATGAGGGGATGTCTGGACAGGTAGAAGGTGGGGAGAGAGGCACTGAGAGACAGAGAGAACGAAAGAGACGGAGTCAGAGAGGGATAGAGAAAGAGGAGAGGAAAGGGGAGGGAAGGAGACAGGAGAGGGCAGGACAGGACAAGAGAGGAGAGAAAAGGCAAAGAAGGGATAGAGGGGTGGAGAAAAAGAGAGGAAGAAGAGAGAGGTCCAGCGCAAGCAGGAGCAGCTCTCAGTCTTGGCAGCGGGCAGGTCCGGGCAGGAGGCGGGCAGCGAGGGGTGGCCGAGGTGACAGCGGCGGTGCAGGGGTGGAAGGGTGTCCGCTCGGACACTTACTCGGATCGATGGGTGGTTTGTCCCCGCTGGCCTCACTGTCTCCATTGTTTTCCGAGAACGCACCTTCGCTGGGCTGCTTATCCCTATCAACTGGAGGAGAACCACAAGCATAGTCAGACAGAGACAAAGTGTGAGTGTCAAACGTGGTACAGTCACCCCTTCTGGCCGAGAGCGGTTCAGGTTTAATGCCGTAATGCCTGCTGGAAGGCAAACCCGGGAAGGACAGAGAGCCTGGCATGGGCTCCAGCCAGGAACGCATGTACCTGCCGTCAGGGGCCGCCGCTACGGGCGCCTGGTGATGCACATAGGGGTGGTACACGGCGGGCACATTGTTGGCGCTCGGCGGGTGCACCGGGTTCCAGGAAGTGCCGAACACCGACGCCTTCGACTGGAAGCTGCACGGGCTGAAGTCCGGGTGCTCCCCCAACGCCGGCTGCCTGGCGGGCTGCGCCAGGGCGCCGGGGCCGTAGCGGGCCGGCACCAGCTCTTCGCTCTCGTGAAGCAGGAACGAGTCCACGTAGTAATTGCTCAGGGTCCCCGAAGTCGACATGGCCCCGCGACGCCGCCGCCGACGCCGCCGCCGCCCCGACGCCGGACCTGCGGAAATTATGAAACTGCAGATTTCATGTAACAACTTGGTCCTACGGAGAAGTACAGTCACCTAATAAGTTGAAGGCTGCCCGTCACGCCATTGGCTGGCCGCGTCACGTGCCAGGCCAGCAGAACAATAAAGTATAAATCACTCCGCAGGCTATTAATGGGCCGGTGTTTTCCAGTCATAATTTTTATAGCAAAGCCATATGTTTTTATGCAAAGGGATATTTGAGTTCTACGATAAAGTTTGTTTTAATTGTGGCCAACGGAGATTAAAAGATCAGGTTGGGTCTGACTACCCCCTTTTTAAGCGGACTATTTTATATCACAATTAATCACGCCATCAGTGAGGCAGAGCTCCCTGAGAAAACCTGGGGAGCGGAGACCTCCACATAAAATTATACAATAATTGAAGCCATAAAAAAGCAAAATCGCATTCTCGCTGTACTGTATTTAAATATATATTTATGATATTTCATAAGGAGTTATTGTTGCGAGAGCCACGGGGCTGGTAGGAAGTCGGGAAGGAAAGGCATATTCATTTGGTTCGCCGTGTCTCCCCGTAGTAAAAATTTACGAGTGCTCGGAAAGGTTAAATTATACTATTGTATTTGGTTTGGGAGCTCACTGTAAATAACCGCGCTGCGCCGGGGCCGGGGCCGGGGCCGGGGCCGGAGCCTCCGGCCGAAAGTCAAAGGCGCCGCTGAGCAGCCGTCCGCCCCGACTGCTTCCCGCCCGGCCCCGACGCCCAGCGCCCCTGCCCCGGGACGGATCCCGGGGCCCGGGGTGCCTTGATCCGAAGGAAAGCTGGAGTTTTCTTGGGGCGCCCCCAGCCGCCCTCCGGCATCTCCCTCGCGTGCCCCGAGGATGTGGACTGGGGCTGCTCAGGACGCTCAGGCTGCAGACGCCTCTTCTCCCACCCTGCCCCCCTCATGCTAGCTATTGTGCTCAGGACGCATCCCAGCAAAGGAGGCTCGAGCCCGGAAAGCATCTCCAGCCGCCGCACTCGAGTGTCCACAGATTTCCTCTCCGGGCGTTAGCCTTTTTCTCTATCACACACGCCAACCTTCACTGACACGGACACAGACGCGCGCGAGCACACACGCGAGCACACACACACACACACACACACACACGCCACCGCCTGCTCCTCTCTGGCCCTGGGGAAAAAAGCTCACTGGCCTAAATTTGGGGAAGAACGGCTTTCGTGGGTACCAGCTTCTACCTCCAGCGGGCACCCGGGCAGACTCTGAGAAGCCTCAGTGGAGCTGTTGGGATGGGGCAGGTCCGAGATCGAGTCTTGGGTCCTCGGCCCAACGCTGAGCCCCGAGTGCGGCCCCAATGCTGGCAAAGGACTCTGTCCCGAGCTAGGATTCCTCTGGCAAGCTCTCCGCAGGGCCGAGCACCCGGGAAGAGAATTGCCCGCAGCCCAGGCCTGGGAAGGGGAAAGTGTTTACCAAAGGCAAGGGAGTGTTGAAAGCTGCACCCCAGCAACAGAAAACGCTCCTCAATCTTTCCTTCCTCTTTCCCTCCTTCCTCGACCCATTGCCATGTGAAAGCAGAGGAATTCTCTGTGCGGGTATCGGGGGAACCCCGATGCAGTAGGTCACAGGCCCTAGGTCCGGGGAAGAAATGTTTGTTTATTAATTTACTGAACGCCCCTAGTCTACTGGATTCACACACCCGATACCCAAACTGAGCGGAGGGTTACAGTCTCTCAGTAAAAACAAGGGAGCTATCCCTCAGCTCAAGTCCAGTGTTAGGAATTAACGTAAAGGTCTAGCATTGAGGAGGGGGAGAATGGGACTTTTGACTTGAATCTGTTCTTCCTTTGCTTTCCTTGGGAAGGGCCTCTTTACCCCCCCCAACCATTGCCAGGGGAACTGGAGGGGGGGGGGGCAGGCCGCCTCCCTGTTAATTTGAAAAACCCAATCCTAAGTAGAAAGCAGCGAGGATTTGCAACTGAGTAGTAATTAAATTCACGTGTGAATATTCCGCACTCAAAAGCATGTTTCTCATTAGCTTTACATCTCTGTTGGCTCTTTCCTCTCTCCCCCTCCTTTTTTTTTCTCCCTTTTCCTCCTGTTCAAGTTTTCTCAATAGCTACAACAGAAATCTCAGAAAGATCCTATTTTTTTTCTCCCAGTTCCACGGCTGATTCGGAGTGATAAGAAGCTGTGAGGGTCTTATCTCTTTGAGGCAGTAGGGGAACCGGCAAGATGCAGCAGCTCGAAGGAGGCCGGCCCACTGGCTTCCTAAAAAAAATATGGAATGGACGTGAATGAAGTTAGGTACACAATGACCTCCAACTTAGCCCTCGTCCGTCCTCTTGCTTACGTCCAGGGCTAGCCTTCGGGGAACCCTGATTTTATCCTCTTTCTTTCTTTTTGTTAATTGTCTCCTCATAAACAAAGGACGGACAAGGGGTCTGGCATAGTCTTCTGGCATCGTTCTGAGGCTGCTGGTCCTTGAGATCAATTTTGTTCGTTGTAAACCCCTCAGACTTAGCTGAGAATAATAGACTTTACTGTCTCCGAACCGAGGCAATCGCAGTCGGTCCTTTCTCAGCTTCAACCTAGAGAAAACTCTTCATAGTGATAATAGTAATAATCATCATCATCACAACAACAATAACAAACAAACAAAAAAAAGAAAGAAAAAGATTGTTCTCTCAAACTGCCTAGGTATTCCTAACCTGAGCCCTAGTTAAATAATTGATACTCGGCGAATTGAAAGAGGTTGAGAAGGAATATTTCCCAACCATATTTGAAGGAGAGGTCAATGAACTGGCCTAGGTTTTTATTTTGAATGTGAAAGCAACGGTTGGGTTTTTTTGTTTGTGTCAGAGGAAAAATACCCTAGCTCCAGCCCAATAAGCTAGTGTAATTAAAAACCACTCTCCTCCTTGCATATAATTCTTCTTTAAGGGTATTGCATAGCAAATGAATTGAATTGTAGACGCCGCCACCGCGCCAGGCTCTCTAACGACCCTCCGTAGACCACGAGCACCAGAGGTTAATCTAACACTCGAAGTGGCCTTCAGAGCAAACTGAGAGGCCGCAGGTTGGAAAAGGACTTCAATCTGGTTTTTCCTTATTAAAGGGGGAAAAAAAAAAAAAGGAGACCAGAGCCAGGTTGGTCCAAAAGGCTGGAAGGGAGAGTGGCTATTTTTCCCTGATTTCGGCACCGTGTGGGACGCAAGGGGCCTTTCTGTTGTTGCAAGCCCTGCTCCCGGGCGAAGTGACCCCTGCCTCAGAATATACTCCACCTGGGGACAGGCACTCAACTTTGAGCTGTCTTCCCTGGAGTTTTGTGGGTCCCCTCGACTCCCACCCTGGATTACTTTAAACTTCCTGAATCTGGGAATTGGCCTTTCCGAAGCTCCCCGATTCTCCTTCCAGGTTCCTGACTCTTAAACAAAATTCATTGGGCAAAGAGGTGCATTTAAAGTAGTAGATACATAAATATTTATTCCAATGACCTGGGACTGCATTTCCCCAGCGGGTCGCATTTTCTGCATACACACACGGTCTCCTAACTTAGCCAGAAGAAGGATCGTGGCAAAACTCTGCCCTAGAGCCAGATGCAGAAGCTATCTCCCGGCTTGGCTTCTGCCGGGTTTTCTCGGAGACTTCGCCCAGCAGAGTTTCCAGCCAACTCAGTCAGTCTCAGCCCCTGGCACAGAGCGAGGGAGCGGCGTGCCCCCGGATCCACAAGATCAGCCTGCAGAACCCCTCTGGTCCCTCTTGGCTTCCCGCCAGCCCTCATCTTTCCCGGGTTCCCGGGTTCCTGGTTCTTGCTCTGTATCCACGTAACAAAGCCTGGAGTGTGGGGCTCCCTGCGACAGACCCAGCGAGGTCGCTGTTGCTCAGTCCGCCTCAAAGGAATGCAGGCGCCTGGCCGCTGCCTAATCGTGATCGTAACCGAGGCCTTGCGAACACTACCAAGCCAAAATGGAATATATGCCTCAATTTTCTCCTCTCCTCGGGACCCCATTACTTCCCGAGTCAGGCAGTAGAGATCTCAGTTTCTCTAGGCTTTCCCCCAAACCTAACCGCAACATTTGAACAGGAGGACTAAAAAGAATCCGCAGTTAGCCCACAAACCAGGCCTGTGCCCCAAAGTCCAAAATGAAAGGTGGAAAGAGAAAATGTAGGAAAGAGAGAATAAGGCAATAGAGAGAAGGAAAGAGAGAGGAAAAAAGAGAAAGGCAGGGAGAAAGAGGGAGAGAGGGGAGAGAGAGAGAGAGAGAGAGAGAGAGAGAGAGAGAGAGAGAGAGAGAGAGAGAGAGAGAGAAAGAAGATTCTCCTGTATTCAAAGTATTCTGTGAGTCTAGAGTTCCTCAAAGTTATAGATCACAGGCCCCTACAATATATCTGCTTTTACTAGTGAGTCAAAGGATACAATTAGTAAACGAAGTCATTTAATGAAATAGCATAGTAAGAAAAGTATCAACAAACATTTCCCCTAAGCCTATGGTATACTCTCCCACAAATATTTATACCATTTTACACATGGTAAACACTTGTAAAGAGGCATACATACAGGGAACTAGGGTACATATCATGGAGGATCTCACACATAGAGAGTGTGTATTGCCAGGACACACACAGAGGAACAATTCATACCTGTGACACTACAGAGTCTCCAATATCTTCAATTAATATCATCTTGGGGCAGCTAGGTGGCATAGGGGATAGAATGCCAAGCCTGCAGTCAAGAAGTCTCATCCTCATGAATTCAAATCTGGCCTCAGACACTTACTAGCTGTGTGACTCT